ACGGCGCTCATGTCGAGTGGCCTCAACTGAGCTGAAGCCGCTGGAAGAGTCCGTTTTGAATCCGGTCACTCCAGCTGCAAGCCTGAGGCCGTTCTGGGATGCTGGAGGGCTTCTTCTGCTAACAATCCAAGAGCCAATCAACACATGAAATTAGGAAAAGGGCGTCATGATTGCGATTCAACTGTCCAATTTGACATTTCACCTGCGCTGAGCCTTTTCCCAAGATAGATGGCAAAGTCCGCTTTGAGACGCTTTCGCTAGACGCTAGAGCTTCTTTCTGCTATGCCAGGAGCCTTCACAGTCACCCTTTTCTGTACAATCACTTCGGTCACACGAAGTCAAGGCAGGGGCGGCTGGTCAAGCTGGAGGCAAAAGTTCTCCATGGAACATCCTGGAGACTCTAGGTCACACCTGTCATGAGCATCATCATGGCCCTTTTCTGAGCCCTTTGTTCCTCATGAACAACATCCAACAAAGAATTCAGAAATCTTGAAAACCTATGCGCGGTCGCGCAGCATTCCCTCGGTCCAGCCGGCCAAAACTTGAGCCACCTTTCCGGCGAAGGCACCCACCTGCTTGTTCTTGACGAAGTACTCCTCAGGTTTTCTTCAGGGGCACAAGGTTTCTATGCGAGGGCTACAGAACAGTATTTCATGGAGATATTTACGACCGCCATGCAATAGTAGGTGCGATCTTAAAGTTTTCAGGCGGCGCATACCGGATCATGGGAACTTCAAGATGAAAATATTTGTGATTCACCAAGGCATGACATGCTCCTGCAATCTCCTGCACCCCTTCAGTTATGTAGGCCAGTACCAGTACAGGCTACAAGCATTGAGCACTTCACAAGGACAACATGGGAATTACACCTGAGGAGCCTTTGAATAAGGTTTGGCATGTGGCCTGTGGCTAGGCACTAAGAGGCTCCGTGTGCGGCATTTGCATTTTACATTCATCAGCTTAATAGGGCCCAAGCTTCCTGTAGTAGCCTTGCGAGCAACACGTGCTCCCCCCCCCCCCCACCGGCCCATCAGTCATACCTTCCCAATGCTTCTACGATGCCCATGCCACAAATCCTAACCATTGAGTCGAAGGCTCGTTTGTAAG